TCCCAATAGGGTATAGAGACAACCCTTGCTGCAAAAAGGACAGCACGACTCTGATCGGGCATCTCCGGGGGTCTTCTCGATGAGAAGAACACCACTCGACGAACAGGTTCCACTTCAAGGCATAAGTGTGTCTTGTAGACGGTGCTCTCGCTGAAGTGATGGTGTCAACTATCTCCTGGGGTAGGTCACCTAGAACCTCCGCATCCCGTCCAGGGACCAGACATGAAGTTTCCAGATGTCTGGACGGGGGTGCCACAGGGTGCCCCGTCTCTGAGTCAGTAGATCCTTCCTCAGAGGAATCTGCCAGGGAGGGGCTGTCGCGAGGAGCATTAGTGGGCCAGTAAGGCGCCACAAACAGGACCTGCTCCTCGTCCTCCCTGATCTTGCACAGTGTCTGTGCGTGAAGGTTCACTGGGGGAAACGCATACTTGCGCAGGCCCCGCGGCCAGCTGAGTGCCAGCTGGATCGTCTGGGGATGGAGTCTCCATTCTCCGGGGAGCCATACGGTTGTGCAGACCTGGAATATGAACGGCACGGAGTGACCACATATGCTTCTGACTCCAGAGGAGGAGGTGGCGGGCGAGTTGCAATATGCGACGGGAGCGTAGACCACCTTGTCGGTTGATGTACACAACGGTCGCAGTGTTGTCCGTGCGGACCAGTACGTGCCTGCTTCGTAAGCGCCCTCTGAGATGGTTGGATGCAATCACCGCATGCCAGTGTGCATTGGCTCGTTTAGTTTACACTCAAAGTGGATTGGTCTCTCTAAGCGAGATCTCAATTCATCGGTCATTACTGACGTGACGTCGAGAGTGACCGACTGAAAGGGAACTTTGGTGGGAACATTGTTTTGTCATGTTTCTTGTCATGATTATAACTTTATTTAAGGATTACAAGAACATTTCTTACAACATTCTGCTAACTTTATTTTACACTAAATATAACATTATTTTTAATATTCTAAGAATGTTAAATGTCAATTTTTCTTGTTGTGATTAGAATGCTATCTGAAGGTTACAAAAACATTTCTTAGAATGTTCAAAAAGTACAAAGAACACCATAAAAACATTTTGAGAATGCTGTTCTCAGAATGTTTGCTCTCAATGTTGTCCCTACATGTATATAACTTAAAAAAAAAAACATTAGTGGATGTTGTGAGAACTGTTAGTTCTGGAATTATTTACTCGACCTGCTGTTTTTATAAAGCTGTATGAACTTTATTCTTTTTCAGAACACAGAAGAAGAAATGTAAACGTTGCTCATGATTATTTTATGATACTTTTGGCGGACAACATGGTTACCATCACTGTAAAAATGTATATGATCTATAAATCTTGGCAACTTATGCTTTTACATTAACTCTAAATAATGTAACCAATTTCAACTACATTTTTTATATGAAATTTAACTTGGCAAGATTTTTTTAAAGAATGAATTGAAATGACTTGTACAGCCAATGTGATTATACTTAAAAGTTTTTAAGGCAGCAACTTAATGCACGTTACCTTTGCATCTGCAGATTTCAATTATAATACATATTTAAAGTATATTTCTCCACCTTAGCAGCACTTACATACAACAAAGCTTACATCTATATTCTGAATGGTTTTTACTGAGGGGTTTGTTCATATATCATTTGACTAATTTTATACAATGTTATATTCCTAAAAACACGGTGAAATGTATTGTTATTTTTCTGATTTATGGAGTGATAAAAAGAGAAATCCAAACTCCCCTCTGTAAAAACTTTAATATGTCAACAAATGATGGCACTGACTTTATCCGGTGTTCAAATTTCTGTATGCAGAAAAAAAAATTAACTTAAATGATTTTAGCAAATGGCTGCAATATAACAAAGAGTGAAAAATTGAAGGGGGTCTGAATACTTTCCGTACCCACTGTATATTTAATTAGCTCTTGTATTTGTGCTGATATTCTCTGGGGTCAGTGATCCACTGCATCAGTGCTACTGGAGAAGATTTCCTCATTATGTGAATGTGGCTTGCAGTATTTGTGTTTTGATGGCAGTGAGCCTGAGGCAGGAAACCCGGGAAGGAAGATCAGATTAGTAATGGATCCACATTAGAGAATCAGCGCCGCCTGACATCCGTGAAATCTCATTCAGACACAACACACTACATGCTAATGCCAGCAGAGACTGAAATACCCCCTTCCTTTACCGTGACTGTATAGTGCAATTATTAGCATAATTCACCTGATCAGTGACTCACACTCATGTTGAGCCAAACCTGCATGACTTTGGATGTTAGTCAGAATGTTGGCACTGTTCTTTTCTATATAATGAATGCAGACAGAGATCAGGAGCTGTCAAGCTGTAAAAAGGACAAAAAGACCATAAAAGTATTCATGATGCTAAACATTCCAAAAAAAGAAAGAAAGTCAAACAGGTTTAGAATAACATGAGGTTGAGTAAATAAAGATAGAATATCATTTTATTTATTTATTTAGTATTTCAGTATGCAATAATATTTTGAATAGCTTTTATTTTTAAGATATTTTCAGTTTTCATTTTAGTTTAAATGTTAGTAATTTTGTTTTGTGCGTTTGTCATTGTTTAGTCTTTTTCTATTTTATTTTTATTTTAGTTTTAGTAGTAATATTTCGGCTTTTTTGACAACTAACTGAAACATTACTAATTTTCATGTAAGTATTTTTAAGTTTTTCATCAAATATTTATTTAATTTCAGCTTTATTAATATATTAATGTATGCAATATTTAAATTAGCTTTTAGTTTGTATATATTTTAAGTTTTTACTTTCATTTTTTAGTACTTTTATGAATTGTATTTATTTATTTTATGAAATTTATTAATTTGTTTTTATTTCAGTTTTAATTTTAGTATTTCAACTCATATTACTTGAATTAGTTGTCAAGGCAATATTACAAATGTTTGAATGATGTATTTGAGGATGCATTTACAGAAATATTTTTTAAGTTAAAATTAAAGTTTTTTCATGTAATATTATATTTTCCGTTTTTATTTTAATTGTAGTTTAAGTTTTAGTAAATTTGTTATGTGCTTGTCATTTTTATTAGTTTTTTTTTTATATTTCTATTTAGCTTTAATTTATTCATATTTCAGTTTTAGTTTTAATAATAGTACTGATTTTATTTCAGTTGGTTTTTAATGTTTATCATCTAATATTTTTTATATGATTTCAGCTTTATTTCAATTAACGAAAATTATTTTTAATAGTTTTAGTTTAAGTTAATAACGACACTGTCTTCAGGACATTGAGAATGACTTCTGAATGGACACCATTCAGCATTTTGCCTCTATAAACACTAACATGATATGCAACAAGCTGTTACGTGTGAATAAATGACAAGAATTACTACAACAATATAAACGCAGCCTAACAGAAGCAGCAGCTCTTTCCCCCACAGCTGTAATAACTGCCCCGCGGGGTAATTAGTGGCTGCTAACACAGCAGTTCCTCTAAAGTTCTCGTCTCTGAGGTCCTCTCATATTCATGTGAGCAGCAATTAGTGCGTTGAGTTTAAAGTCAATGGTGTGGTTTTTAATGCGGTGTCACTCTGGGGGTCGTCATTTCTCTCATCGGTCTAATTTGGGATGCTTTTAAGAGCGGATGTCAAACTAAAAAGACTATTAGCAATTGCAAGGTATAATTGTGCATATATGATGATTATATTGACTGTAAGAAAAGTCTGTAAAAATACGGCCCGATGTAATATGAAGGAATTTTTCATATTGATTTTTTTTTACCTGTACTTTGAACTACACATTGATATTATGCAGTGTTTTAGGGTTGAAGAAAATGTCCATAAATTTGGAAAATGTACTGGTCATTCTTTTCCAGGACTTTATCTGTTTTTCTATGGATTTTTTATTTACAGTGTTGTTTAATTACTTATAAGAACACAGTGGACTATCCACCATAGCGCTAAGAAAAAATGAAAAAGAAAAAAAATTAATATACATATATATATACACACACAGTCTAAAAAATGCTGGGTTGAATACAACCCTAACATATAAACATTTAAACCTACTGTTGATTGAAAACAACCCAATCGCTGGGTTTGTCCATATTTTACCCAGCGCTCCAGTGAAGCTCAATGAAATATATTTTTGAAATTGAAAATATTTTTAGTTTCAACCATCATATACCAAAACGTATTTCAAAATGTATTAAAGTGGCAAGTAAATACATTTCTAATCAGTAGCCTACAAAAAATAGTTGCCTGCAAATAAGACAAAGGTCAACAAATAAAGCTTTTATAATGATTTAAAAAATATTAAAGGGATAGTTCACCCAAAAATGAAAATGTGATGTTGTGCATGTTTTTTTTACTCTCATAGATTTTGTTACCATTGCCATGCATTATACGACTGATAGACTGCAACGGCTGGAGTTAAAAATCATAATTTGTGTTCTACTGAAGAAACAAAGTCACCTACATCTTGGATGCCCTGGGGGTAAGCAGATAAACATCACATTTTCATTTTTGGGTGAACTATCCCTTTAATATCTTTTCAAAAATATACAAAGAAATTGCCAAAAAATATTGATAGAAAATAAATATAATAAATATATCTTCAAATATATTTTAGCAAATACATTTTGGCCATTTTGAAATATATTTAAAAATATATATTTTAAAAATATATATTTTAAAAAGATTTAATTTAATTGCCATATGGGCCATCATCCAGCCATAAGGATTAATGAAATTTAACAGTCAGTGAAGTCATACTGTATGTAAGCTTTATGGCATCCAGCCACCTAAAATCTTTATCATAATTAGTCTTTAATAGCCTGACTCTTACTGCTTCTGCATTTCCAGCATCATTTCTCAGTTAGACACACTGCAGTTTGCAGTTTGATTGCATCAGCAATATCTCTGGACCAATATCTTTCATAATTATCAATAGATTTGTTTGCAATGAAAGGAGCGGTTGCATTATTAAATGCACAGAGTCTGGGTTACGACGAGTCATTGATTGTCTGTGCAGGAGGAGGAGGTTCCTGAGCTGGAGATCGACATCGATGAACTTCTAGAGCTGACAGATGCAGAGCAGAGATCTCGACTGCACGTACGCTCAGCTTCATCTGAATCATAACACCATACACATAACCGGTGCAGCAGAGCTTCATGTGACTGCATGCATCTATAACTTCATGACAAACACGTACAGATGTTCTACCAGCTGTTCTGTGTTTTAACAGGAGCTTTTGCAAGAATGTGGAAAGCCAAAAGAGGTAAGAGAAAACCACAAACAGCTTTCATATGCACTTATTAACAGATGAGTCATGCTTCATATTACAGTGATTATGAAGAAAATTGACCTAAAAATCAGATGCACTGAAAAATATGTAGGCGTAAATATAAGATTTATGTATTTTAATGGCATATAAAATTTCCATCTGGATGAAATGATCTTGTTTGAATATTATTATAAGTATTATATATATATATATATGTTTTATATTATTTATTTAGGATTATTTAGCTTTAGTTTCTTTTTATTTCAGCTTTAGTCATTTTACTTAAGCTTATTTTCTCTTAGTTGCCAAGGGAACTTCTAACAAGGGAATTTCTGTTTCATTTCAGTTTTTCATCTAATAATTATATATTTTATTTTATTTTATTTATTAAAGTATTAGTGTATTATGTATTAATATTTTGAATTGGCTTTTATGTTTTTTATTTCCCGTTTTCATTTTTAGTCATTTTGTTACATGCGTTTATCATCTTTATTCGTTTTTGTAAATATTTATTGTATTTATTTTTTATGAATATTAGGAAGAAAATTCCCCTAAAAATCAGATGCACTGCAAAAAAATATTTAGGCCTAAATTTCAGATTTATGTATTTGGATTGCATATAATTTTTCCATCCATTTCGATTACACCGTTTTAACATAAACTAATATGATTCATATTCACACTCAAAAAAAGGGGAAAAATCATTTCATACTTTATTAATAAATATTTGAACAAATGTATAATTATGTAATATTATATACATCAGTTTATGCTTTTTAAGTTAAAACTGTGTAATCCAAATACATTTCATTATAAATTGTAATTTTAACATGAAAGCGCAACTAACTTTGAATAGATAAACTTTAAGTTACATTACCATAGATGGTTTTAACTGCCAGTATTTCATAATAAATTAAGCAACACATGGTTTTAAAGTTTAACAGCACTCTAAACTTTAAGCTCTTAAGCAGGATCTCTCTCTGACCGCAGGACTTTATCAACGGTCTGCTGTACCGGATGAAGGGACTGCGGAAGATGTCAGGATCTCTCAAGAAATAGTTTTAGGTCAAAAGCTGGATTTTTCAAGATAATGTGAAGCACCCGGCCCCGCCCCTGACCCCGCCCACAACAACAAGCCCCACCCACTCCTCCTGTCTGTACTGTAGAGCGCTGTGAGTCTGTCTGTGGACGTTTCTATAATTCACTGCACACATGGGTCAACGACAGAAACTTCCAGAAACTGTGTTTTTGACCACTAATAATTCTGTAGTTTCTCCAGCATTGCAGATAAAACGAATGGCCTATTATTACTCAAATGAGATGTTTTTTTTTGTTTTATTGTGACATGTACATTTTGTTCCCTATTTATATATACATATTTTGTTCTGACAAGTGTTGTAGATTTTAGATGAAAAGCATAGATACAGTTCGTGATAATAAATTCAGAATCTAGGATATCTTTCTTACATTCTGCCATTGTCTGATTTCAGTTCTAAAACGGAGATATTGCATGACAATTAATACTGTCTCAGAAGTGCAGAATATGCATCTTTCATAACACTTTTATCAATAACATGACAAAAACACACATGTCAGCATGAAATGCATCAATATTTCCAGTATTGCATTAAGTTATCCTGTATTTCACCTCATGCATATGTATGTCTGGTAAACCTGATGATATTTAGATGATCTGCAGGAGAATAAACGTCCATAATGCATAACTCCAAACACATCCAGCAGCACTAATAAGCCGATTTAAACACTTTACGGCTCAAATAACAAACATTTTACTGAAGAACTTGCAAAAATACCAATGCTTTTAAACCCTCTGATCATCAGGCTTCATGCTTTTGACTATAAATATAATGTTTGTTTGTTTGTTTTTATAAACCGACTTTGGTGATCAACAGCATGTCACAGATTCTGTCTATAACCCAGAATATTCTTTTAATGTATATTTACATTTGATTAAAGCTTTTAAAGTACTTTAAATGATACGGATTTTAAAAGCAGATGGGGAAAACACAGGTTAACCAACACAAACTCCAGTGCGTGATTCCAGTCAACTATAAAACACAATAAAACGCCAGTAAACAACAGTAGGGCTGGAGAAAGCAAAAGTGCATGTAGTGGTAATAAAGAGTAAAGATGCTTGTTGAAGGTTAACTTTTATGCCACATGTCTTGGTTTAGTCATTAACCTCAGCTGTTTTCTGAGATGATGATGATGATGTTGAAGGTGTGGATCATCAGAGACGATCATGTTCGCACAAATATTCAGAACTGCCCAGTGTTTTGAGAATAAAGAGCAAAATGAAATAGAGGTGCAATGTTCAAAATAAAATAAAATTCAGGTGTAATGCTCTAAATAAAGTAAAAAAACAAACAAAATAAAATCAATCAAGTATAATGTTTAAAATAAAATAAAATAAAACTCAGGTGTAATGCTCTAAATAAAGTAAAATGTAAAATAAAAATAAAGAATAAAATAAAATACAAGTATAATACTCAAAATAAAAGTAAAATAAAATACAGGTAATGCTAAAAATAAGCTAAAAGTAATATAAAATAAAATAAAACAAAATAAAATACAGATGTAATGCTCTAAATAACATTAAATTAAATGAAAAGTAAAATAAAATACAGGTGTAATGCTCAAAATAAAATAAAATAAAAACCATGACTAGGCTTTTAAGGTCACGACTACATCTTGGCGTGTGATGTAATTACAGAATATATGTGGGTTAAAGGACAAACACTGGTTTGTACACTTGTATTTACTTTGGTTGTACACACACACACTCACACACACACACACACTCGCACTCGCACACTCACACACACACACACTCACACTCACTCACACACACACACACACACACACGCACACGCTCACGCACACACACTCACACACACACACACACACACACACACACACACAAACACGTTAACAAAGTCATAAAGTGATAACACAGTAAAGCAGCTGATGTGCTGATATGTGCTTTGATTAACTCAGTGTACAATTCACATCTTACAAACACATACACACACACAACACACTTTGTACATTTAATTTTTCTCCATTTATTTTAATTTTGTCTTTTTGTTATCTCTGCCAAAGCTGATGCCAACAAATAAATCACCCACAAAAACACAGTAAGTACAAGACGATAAAGTCCTGTAGCGTCTTAAATGTCAGTATATGGCTCTCAAACACTTCCTGTCATACGTCTCTGAGCGCTCTCACCCTCAATACTCGCCTTTCAATTATTCATCACAACATGGAAATGCTGCTCAGAACAGCTTCTACTGAAAACATACAGAAAACAAGATCAGATTCTGCAGAGAGAGAATCCAACAGCAAATAAAACTGAGAAGCGTGAGTGTTTATGAGTTTAGAGATGTCTGCATTAATTAATTCAAACAGGAAATTCTCAAAAAGCCTTCTGTGTGACGTTCAGAATTATGAATGCATTCATTATAATGCAATTAGAGGTTATTGTTTAGCAAACATGTTGTGTGTAAATGAACGAGAGTGAGTTGCTTTACAACGGATATAATGCAAAACACAAATGGGCAAAATTCATATCAGATGCAGGTAAATCATAAAACAATAACTAGTTCTCTAGAGCACATGTTCAAGTGTTTTATTGATGTTTTAAGTCCAGTTTTATATTTACAGAACCAAACCAATCATTTCTCAAGCTTAGTCTAAGGCTGCTGTGTTGGCAGACACATACTGAGGCGACATTATTATTTTCTGTTGGCTACAATGAAATAAGTTAAATCACCTCAAACATAAGGCTGCTCATGGAGGTTTCAGGTTTTCTTCTTGCCTTTCTTAGGGGCCGTATATGAGGAAGTGCGATGCTCTTTTCTGTCGTATGTGTCGTGACCTTCCCTGTGGCAGAATGAAAGACAATTATCACACTAATATCACACGGTATGTCAAACGCAGCTCATTTCACTCGGCAAGATCTCATGGAAAAAGCCAGTGAATGATTCCTGAATGAGACCAAATGTTGAAGAGCGAGAGTTTAATGTGCTGAGATTCAGATTAACATTCAACTCGTCAAATATGAGAGTCACAATAATTAATCTGACCGGGGGAGATGTGGCATAACAGTTTACAAGAACAAGAAAAAAACATGCTTTGGTGAATCATATTTCACAGTAAAATTATGAGATAGTAAGTCATAATTCTGACATGAAAAATCATAATTATGATCTACCAAAGCATTATAACTTAAACATAAGCATTATGACTATTTAAGTCAGAATTTCAACTTTTTATGTCATTATTATGACTTGCTAGGTCTTATTTGGTAATTATGACTTTTTTATCTCATAATTATAACTTAGTATATCATGTTTCGACTGTCATAATTATGTCTTTTCAACATTTCATGTCATAATTATGAGTTTTTTACTTTTTTGATAATGACTTTTTATCTCACATTTTATGACAAACTATATAAAAATAATTATTTTTAAAGTCATATTTATGACTTTTCAACTTATGTCATAATTATAACTTTTTTGATAATTACGACTTTTTATCTCATAGTTATGGCTTAGTATATAAATTTCGACATTATATCACATAGTTATGACTAACTATATCACAATTATGCTTTTTGATGTCATAATTATGACTTTTCAACTTTTATTAATCTTTTTATTTGATAATTATGATTTTCTCAAAATAGACTTGTGACAATTAATAAGACTTCCTATGTCAACTTTATGTTTCATAGTTATGTATATCATACCAAACACAATAATTAGTACATCATAATTTTGACCTTTTATATCCTAATTATGACGTCAACATTTGATGTCATAATTATGACTTACTTTTTGTCATAATTATGACATGTCTCATAATTTTGACTTTTTTATCTCATAATTATGACGTCAGAATTTTGTCTTTTAATCCCATAGTTATGGCGTTTTATCTCACAATTATGAATTATTATTTCTATAATATTGACTTTTTGTCATAATTATGACTTGTCTCATAATTTTGACTTTTTTAAAAATCTCATAATTATGACTTTTTGTCAGAATTTTGTCTTTTAATCCCATAATTATGGCTTTTTATCTCACAATTATGAATTATTATTTCTATAATATTGACTTTTTGTCATAATTATGACTTGTCTCATAATGTTGACTTTTATCTCATAATTATGACTTAATATTTACCAAAGCTTATCTTTTTCTTTTCTTTTCTTTTCTCATGAGCAAAGAATGTAAATTGAAAATGTAAAGAATCATATGCTAGAATAGGTTTCTTATGAATACTCAGTGCTAGAGGTTTGATGAGTATGAGTACTAGTACTAGTGATGCTCATCTCAGTAAACACTACTAAAAACAGCATGAGAAATGAGAGGAAAGTCACCGTTCGTACCTAAAGCAGCGGGCGCAGTACAGATCCCGCTCACACGTGTGGCAGCGAATGACAGCGTCCTGATTACAGATGCAGCACCACGGCAGCTCTTCATCATCCTCATCTTCATCACAATCTCCATCATCGAAGCGCCGGATCTGTGAGACAGCAGCTGCCGGCTTTGATTTAGACCGCGGCGCTGAGAGCTTAAACACACACGGATAAATAATGCACAATTCAAACAATTCTGAAGACATTTATTTGGTTACAGTCTTTAGCATGTGTTTGTGTGATGCACACGTGTGTAGGCCTGTTACCGGTTTCCTTCTGGATGTGTCCTTCTCTCTGTTCATCGGGCCGCTGAGCTCTGGTGGGATGTTGTAGCCGCTGGCCTCATCTAGAGCTGCTTCCTCTGATAACTGAACAAGTGACAATAAAACACACACAGGACGCTTCAAACTGAGCTCTGATGGATCTGTCTGAAGAGCGACCTCTGCTGGCTGTTATGAGAAGTGCCACAGGTCAAAATAAACAGGTTGTACACTACCATAGTTAACATCAACTTTTCATGTCCCAATTATGCTTTTTCGACTTTTTGTCATAATTACGACTGTTTATCTCATAGTTCTGACTTTTCATGTCATAATTATGACTTAGTATTTCATAATTTTGAGCTGTCATATGTCATGTTTTTTTTATTGTTATGTTATAAATAAAGACTATTTGACTCATAGTTGACTTAGTATTTCATAATTTAGTTTGTCATAATTATGACTCTTGATCTCATAGTTATGACTTAGAATGCCATTTTTTTAACTTTATGTCATCATTATTACTATTTATCTCATAGTTGATTTAGTATGTCAATTTCGACTTTTCATAATCAAGACTTTTGTTTTACTTTTAAAACAAATCTTAGTATTTTACAATTTTGACCTTGTACC